CACCAACAACGACATGGAGGAGATGGGGGGCAGGGAGAGGAAGACTGGGGAGGGGGTACGAGAGGACAGGAGATGAGGATGACTTTGCTTCTTTACTTTATTTCGAACAGTTGACTGGTCAGCATCAACAACGAGGAAACTACTTCTGGTGTGAAAATTGGCAGGAATACTTTACGTGAAAATGCTATATTTTCCATAATGCTAACTGCTTTGACCACTACTAGCTATAATTTTCCGTTGTTTTTTTTGGGTAAAGGTTCATTTTGGGATCATAGATCTGACCAATTGCCCAAAATGTCCAAAACAGGTAACTGTGTGGTGCCTAGAGAGCCTGGCCTGCTCTACCAAACTAATGAGTAGGAACTGGCATAAAGTTTGGTCTTCATACTTTAAAACTTTGCCAAACTTTGAAAAAAGAACAAAGAACCTTGGAATGCTGTTAAATGTGTCACGGTGGCAGTACGGTGGATAAGGCACCTCTAGACCTACACAGAACATTGCCTGGAGTCTGGAGTTCTCCTTGCTGTGGACCTTCAAATGAGGGTTGTGAACCACATCGTGTGACAAGAACATAGGCGAATTGCTAAAGAACCCTCTCCGAACCTAAATAATAGGTACCAAGCACACAAATGTTGACTCACTTTATTAAACTGGAACTGTGTAGCTTTTAAAATGAACAACACCACTAAGACTTGTGTTCTTGCAGGTAAAGATCTGGTTCCAGAACCGCAGGATGAAGTGGAAGCGCAGCCGAAAGGCCAAAGAGCAAGCCGCCCAGGCGGACGCCGAGCGCCAGCGGGCTGGAGGCAAAAAGGCCAATGAGAACTCAGCTGAGGAGGTCCAGGGGGCGGGGCCTCAGGAACGTGAGGGACAGAGGGAAGAGGAAGACGTGGACGAAGAAGAGGAGGATGATGAGGAAGACGAGGCGGAACAGCACGAGTTCATGAGTGGTACGGATTTTCTCCAGCATGACTTTTCTCACAGCCAGTACTCCGACGACGACATGGAGGAGATGGGGGGAGGGGACAGGAAGATTGGGGTGGGGTTTTGAGAAGACACCTCTTCTTCACTTCACTTCCTGCAGCTGACTGGTCAACATCAATGGACTCTGTGACAAGAGAACTACTTCTGGACATCAAGTTGTGAAAATTGGTGGGAATACTTTACCCAAAAATGCAAGCTAGGGGGCGCAACTTTCATGATGCTAACTGAGCACTACTAGCTATTATCCGCCATTAGCTTTTTTGGGTACAGCTTTCGTTTTAGGATCATAGATTGGGACAAATTGTCCAAAATAGACCCCAGAGAGCCTGGCCTGCTCTACTGTGGCCTGTAGTCGGACGTAAACTCCTTTAGTAAGGGAACTGTTAAGGACAGTACAGGTCAGTCTTGGAGGGCCAGTGCACTTTTCACTGATCCAACACACTTGATTCCACTCATCAGTGCATTACCAATAAATTTGGGAACTGATCTTAGTGTTTCTCAGCAGGGATCTGAGTTGGACACCCCAAGTATAACCCGTTAGTGTCCAGTCACGTTTTCACACATGCATGCACGCTGCATAGACATACCAATGGAGGGTTTCCCAACAAAGATGGTCAAGCCAGTTTCATTGTGAACCCTCTCTGTAATAGGTGAGATGATCCTCTCACCACAACGAGATGCTCAGGCCTGGCGGACCTCTTGAAAGAACAAAGACGTGGACTGTTGTGACAGATAAATGAATTTAAAATGAAGTGACAAACGTCATCACACTGTTACATTCGGCAACTGTAAAAGCAGCTGGGATTCACTGGCCAAAGCTTTACCACTTGGTGCTGAGGGTGGACAGATCATCACAGTTTGAAATCGTGTAAAATATTGAATATTTTCAGTGTAAATACTCAGAAAAGCTCTTGAGCTCTTGTCATCTTCCTGATTGTTTCTGCTGTATGTACAGTTCTGATGGCATGACTGCTTTTCTGGATTACACTTCATGTGGTGGTTGCAGCTATCAACTTATGAAGCCTTCATAAATGGTACATGATAGATTTAGGTTTACATATAGCACACATGCTTAAAAAAAAGGGTTCTTCAATGGTTCTATATAGCACCAGAAAGGGTTCTGCTATTGTTATGATGTCAAGCTTGTAACAATAGAAGAACTTCTTTTGGAGCTACACAGAACACTTTTAAAAAAGGTTCTACATCAATCTGGTGACCCATTTCACCATGCATAGAACCGTTTAAGCATGTCAATAGTTCTTTGAGTGTTCACGGTTCTGTATAGAACCATTGTCCTCACTGAAGAACCCTCGAAGAACACTAAGGGTTCATGGTTCTATGTACAACTACTGGCTTTACTAATGAACCCTTAAAAAGCACCAGAAAGGGTTCTGCCATTGTTATGATGTCAAGCTTGTAACAATAGCAGAACCCTTTTTGGTGCTATGTAGAAGCCTTTTCAAAAAGGTTCTATATAGGACCATATACAACGCATTCTCCATGAATCTGAAGAACCATTTCACCATGCAAAGAACCATTTAAGCAACCATTGTCCTTACAATTGAAGAACACTAAGTGTTCATGGTTCTATAGAGAATGATTGACTTTGCTAAAGAACCCTTGAAGAAAACTAAGGGTTCATAGTTCTATAGAGATCCACTGACTTTACTAAAGAACCCTTGAAGAACACGAAGCGTTCATGGTTCTATATAGAACCATTGTCTATATTAAAGAACCCTTGAAAAGCACCAAAAAGGGTTCTGCTATAATTATGATCTCAAGTTTGTAACAATAGAACAACCCTTTTCAAAAAGGTTCTCCATCAATCTGAAGAACCATTTTGCCATGCAAAAGGAAGGTTTAAGCATGCAAATGGTTCTTTGAGTGTTCCTGGTTCTATATAGAACCACTGTCTTTACTAAAGAACCCTTGAAGAACCATCTTTTTTTTAAAAGTGTACTATACAGCTGGGCCTCAGTGTTGCCATGACGAACGTAATGTAAAATCAGTGATGTTTGTTATGTATATAACAATTTAAACACAGAACATTTTAGGGCCCTTGTGGTACCGTTAGCCTTAACTGAACAAAATCAAGGCTTAGGACAAACGTGATGATGTAATATGACTGGCTAAAGGTGCTGGAGCCCGGTGGTCTTATGAAGGGCTGGATCTAGACGCCATAATCAGAATGCAAAACTTCTTCTAACCTGGAGCTTCACTGATTCAAAAATGGATGATCCATAATCCGGCCTACTGGTCAGGAAATGGATTATTATGTGGGCCAACGGGTCATAAAGGAGCCTGTAGTGTGGGACGAGGTGACTTTCACAGGATAGACATTTGAAGGACAGTCAGATGTACGTTCAGTTCAACCTGTTTAACTTGATATTATTTAAACTGTTTAATATCTAATTTATTTGCTTTGCAGAAATTCCTGAAAGGCTGAACCATGGTTGTATTTATGTGTTGGTCTGTGTTGATGTAAATTACATGAATAAAGAGAAGAACAATTTGTAAAGCTCTGGGTTGTTCAGTCTGAAATCTGAATATGAATGAAATCAATGTTACATAAAAAATGTAAAACATTTGTAACTATATTTTGTCAGTTTTTATTATTATACCATTTGAAAATGCCCCTTTAATAGAAACACCTACTTTGTATGTCCACTCACTGGCCACTTTATTAGAAACACCTACCTTGCACTTCCACACACTGGCCACTTTATTAGAAACACCTACTTTTTGTATGTCCACTCACTGGCCACTTTATTGGAAATACCAAGCTTGTTCTTCCTCTCACCGGTCACTTTATTAGAAACATAAACCTTGTACTTCTACTTATTGGCCACTTTATTAGAAACACCTACCTTGTTTTTCCACTCACTGGCCACTTTATCAGAAACACCCACCTTGTTCTTCCACTCACTGGCCACTTTATTAGAAACACCAACTTTGTACTTCTACCCACTGGCCACTTTATTAGGAACACCTACCTTGTATTTTCACTCACTGGCCACTTTATCAGAAACACCCATCTTGTACTTCTAGAAGCTGACCACTGGTGAAGGACTACCGGATGACTAACAGAAACTATACATCAACAGATGAGCTACCGTCTCTAACTGTACACCAGCGAGGTGGAGCTACAGTGTAGCTATTTCTAATAAAGTGGCCAGTGAGGGTATAACAGGATAGCAACAGTAAGACACATAAGTGTGAAAGAAACCCTACAGTACTGCAACCAGAGAAACTTCTAGACCCCTTCTCAAGGTTGTTTGTGAAAAGCCTCCATAAGCAGGCAGTGTTGAGATAGGAGATGGTGACAGTGGCAGGATGAAGAGGTCTGAATGTAAATCAAACTGACACCGGACACATTTTAACGTGCAATTCCCTTTAATGGAAAATATGCTTTTTTTATTTCTCCCCCAGACAATGAGTCTGATTAACATGCTGAATAAAAGGCGAAACAGCGACGCTTAATAAACTCAGCGGAGGAGGGACGTTATTTACGACACTGGCTCTCAGATATGAATTACTCCATCGGGTTTTACTGATAGTCAAATAATTAAGTTAATGAAGGGGAAGTAAAGTAATCAGCCCCCTGATGGTGATGTCACCCAGCCCATTTCATCTGCAGGAAGAAGGAAAGAAAAAACACATGCAAAAATGATGAGTGCGTGACCAAACCAGGGCGTTTTATTGAGAGTCCATGTAAGGGCGGTGATTAAATACAGGACATGAGGAGACACAGCATAACTTCTCTGTCATGGAGGCCATGCGGCAGCATGTTTATACAGTGATTAAATGCATTTTTAACTGGCCGCAGCAAGACGGCTGAGCCTGTTAAATCCGATCCGGAATCTGGGTCTAAGTGCCGGACAAAGAGGACACATTCAGAGTGGGTCAAAGCCCAGCTCTGGCTGTTTCCTGCGGTCCCACTGGGAAGTTTATGTTGTAATACATAATAACAATATTAAGTAGAAAGAGAAAGTTTGTGAACAAGCTATAAATGGGTTTGACAATCGAATTGCTATGAAATCCCAGGTGGTTGCTAAGGAGTTGCTATGTTATCCCAGGTGGTTTCTAAGGTGTTGTTAGGCCATCACCACTACAAAGAATCCAAGGAGGTTGCTAATGCGTTGCGAGGCTGTTGCTATAGAATCCCAGGTGGTTGCTAAGGTGTTGTTTGGCCACTGCTATCTTATCCCAGGTGGTTGCTAATGTGCTGCAAGGCCATTGCTATGGCATCATAGACAGGTGCTAAAGTGTTGCTAGGCTATTGCTATCTTATCAGTGGTGGTTGCTAATGTGTTGCTAGCTTGTTGCGATAGAATCACACGTGGTTGCCAAAGTGTTGCTCGGCCACTGCCATCTTATCCCAGATGGTTGCTAATGTGTTGCTAGGTTGTTGCTATAGAACATAATAATATTAAGTAGAGAGAGAAAGTTTGTGAACAAACTATAAATGGGCTTGACAATCGAATTGCTATAAAATCCCAGGTGGTTGCTAAGGAGTTGCTATGTTATTCTAGGTGGTTTCTAAGGTGTTGCTAGGATGTCACCACTACAAAGAATCCAAGGAGGTTGCTAATGTGTTGCTAGGCTGTTGCTGTGGCATCCCAGACAGATGCTAAGGTGTTGCAAGGCTATTGCTCTCTTATCAGAGGTGGTTGCTAATGTGTTGCAAGGTTGTTGCTATAGAATCCCAGGTGGTTGCTGAGGTGTAGTTGGGCCATTGCTATGGTATCCCAGGAGCTCACAAAGGTGTTGTTCGGCCACTGCTATCTCTATGCATTATTGACGATGGTGGAGCTGTCAGTGAATTCATCACCAATGTTCTATTGCTCCAAACTATTTCTTTTGATTTCGGATCATCTAAGAAGAACCGGGAACATGTCTAGAAACGAATAAACCTAACAGCATCCACACAGTATTATGGGATCTTCAGTTCTGGACCCATGTTTCTTTACATTGTCTCTTTGCACCTTCTGTTACCTTGGAAAATTATGGTCTTTCAAGCCAGTTCCACCTGTTGAAACGCTCTTTTGAAAGCCCCTCTCTGTTTTTACTTCTAGTTCTAGGATGTTCTAGTTCTAGGAAGAGGGAAAGATGGAAATGGAGGGGTATCCTTTCAACCTGTCCCCATGTCTTATTACCAATGTCTTTGTCATTGTTTGACCTGAGGGTGATTACTGTGAAAAAGGGAGGAAAGCAGTTTCTGATCTTGCGAAGAACTCCTTGTCAACAGGTACTGTCGCATTTAAGAAGGTCCCAAAAACGTTCTTGCATTAACTGGTACTACTTTTTCTAATTCACCAAAACAGTATCTTATTAAAAAAGGCATAGCAATGTCACCAGTGCTGAGGTAACATCTGCACTGTTCATTTATGTCCAGATGGTCCATGTTCACTCGAGTCCAGATGGTCCATGGACAATGCATTCGACACTTGGGATTCTGCTGTGTAGTGAGGTTAAAACAACCTGTGTGGATTGCTAGAAAAGGAAGAACTGCCTCACAATTGGCTGAGGTGGATAATCAGGACTCAAGTAACGTTTTGATGGGTTCATACTTTCCAGAGTGCTTTCAAATGATGACACAGTTACTTCTACGCAAATGCTGGATTTACGAAGACGTTCCACTGCGGATCTATAAGTAACTCAGCGCTTAGGCTACTCTACCAACCTCTGACCATGGGGCACAAAAAGCTTTGTCTCCATTGTCATTTTGCTTTTAGGTACCTCATCTGTAGAAGATGTCTGAATATCGTCTCCACTTTCTAAGAGGTGGTGATGCTTTGCCTTCGGTCTACTAGCTGCAAGGCTGGTCGCTCTGATGCAGTAGGAAGTGGTGATCATCCCAAGGAGAGGAAGGTGAACCAGAGGACATGGAGGGAGAGGGAGGGGGTTGCAGGCTGAGACGCTTGAAGACCATTAAATATGCGGAGCTTTCGGTATGAAGATGGGACAATAAAGTTGAAAGAGATACTTATTCGCAAAGCTATGTCAACGGTCTTGTATACGTATTGAGGCATCATATATGCCTCTTAGTTACAGCAGAATGGTATCATGTAATCAAGAGTATATTTATTGACTCTCAGACTTATTGCACATTTGGACATGGACTCAGTGGCTTTATATAGACGTATAAAACTGCAGAAGGGTTGGCTAGACCTGATAAAACGGCCACTTTGGCTAAATTCTGAAGTCAGCTTTCAGAATGACCACTTTAATTTGAGGCCACTGCTAGTGATTGAGTCTCGACATAAATTCTCGGCTTCCGATTGCGTTTTACTGTTGTTATATATAAAACCGAATGTGACAGAAGTGCTGACCACCATTCCTGTTTTGAAACCACTAAGGCGATCACGCAATGTCTGGCGCATAAGCATGGTCAAAAATGCCCAAACTGCTTACGAATTCTGTCTCTAACTTCCAACATCACCGTCATTCCCACCTCTCAACAGATACGATCACACGGTGGACGAAATGAACGTTTTTCTTCCGACTTCTCTGCTCATAAATCTACCTTGAGTGACCGCGACCCCGTAAAACATTTACACTCTGTAGTTTTAATCAATCAGCCAAACGTCGGGCTCATTACGGGAATATGAACAGATTGTGTGATCTTTTAAAGTAATCACCTATATTGGTTGAGATTTTCCCCTCGGCCTTGTCGTGTCACTTAAGCTAATGGGGAGCTAAAGGAAAGAGCGACGGGGCGGCCATATTTCACATCCGCCCTGACTTTTAACCGCTGTTCAGACGTGACGGGAGGGGAGAAAAAAAAAACAAAAAACAGGCCAAGTTTTGGGGTAATAAACTTTATTGAAAAGGCCGGGCCTTTTCTCTCTTAGAGCCCAGGGCTGCGTTCAGGACAGGCATTTATTACACGAGCGGGAAATCTGTCATACAGCTGCGAAATGTGGCTTAATAATCAAGATAAGCGACTAGCCCACCAGGCGCGATGGCCTTGATTGGCCGTGTTTGTTTTCCACACTCGCTGTAATAAATAATAAGCCTATCCTCGAGATGTGATTTCCGAATGTACACGTTCAAAGCGGCCTGTGTTTACTTTGCACATCGGTGACTGATGTGGAAGCGCAGGGCTGCCCGGAGTCTGACACAGCGCGGCGTATTCATAGCTGTGCTTACCATCATTGTCAGAAATGTGAACCTATATTCACCCCCTTTGATCTGACAGCTAATACAGTGAGATGATCACACCTATCCTTTCCTCTGACAGCAATGACTAATGAACTATACATTCATATATACATACATACACAAAGAGTAGAGGGACATGGGCCTGTAATAAAAGTGATCAGCTTCTATGTTTGATGTGTCCGTCTCCTTTTCTCAGTGAGGTTCTTCTTGACAGCTACACATCCTTTCAGACCCATAGCGCTGAGTCGTCTTCTCACAGTGGAAGGATGGACAGAAACACCTGTGGATGTTTTCAGATCTGAAGCAGCTTGATTTTCTCCTCTCTCTCAAAGATGAAAGCTTTAAGTGCTGTTTATCT